TTCATTGCTCGGCTGCTTATCTAACCACACGTGATACGGTATGCATAGTGTAATTGTGCCACTGCGAGCAATTTGGAGAATCGATAGGTGTGCGATTTCGCTTAGGATATGCGTGATTGTTAAGGCAGTGCTTGGTAATCTGAAACAACGCAGTGATTAGTATGAAGGAGGTAAAGCTAAAACATCATCGCAAATAGAATTTTTAAACGCTTTACATCTAAAATTCTTCGTGCAGCTTTTTCAATTAACCGTACACTCATGTGAATAGCATAGCTACGTACTGCTGATGTAGTCGACGCATTGTATACTAAGGTCAAGTTCGCTGGGTAGGGAAGACCAGCAATGGACCTGCAGCCATTGTTCCAAAGAGGAGGGTTCCTATTGTGGCGGTGACACGACATTAGTGAGTGTTCGTTGGTCTCCACACCTTTGGGCCAATTCGGTAGTCTCTTACCGCTACGGAACCCATGGACCTGCCGCTATGTTAAGGTCGTAAGATGCATGTCAATCCTGCGTTTCAACATGATATTTACGCTTTAATTCCAAGTGAATGATGAGCTTGAAATACCAAGTGACCCTTCGGCCCTGATATGATCTGCTAACAAGCATTGCATACGCATAGTAAGCATAGAGTTTGGAGCAATTTTCCTTCTTCAACAATGCCTCCGGAATTATCTACTTTCCAATGACCAAATGTTTCCGAGTAATTGCCAAGTCAAAAACAACCTGTGTCACGGCGTGCACACATGACTGCTTCTAAGACTAGCTGAAACAGTGATCCATAGCAGGCTTAGTGGCCGCGGTTGCCTTTGTAAATGACTACAAACACATTGTAGGAAAGCCCGTGGGTGAGACAACAGTGTTTGTCTGTTCAAAGTACTCACTTGAAATACCAGAGTAAAATGCCTGCGTCGCAGCTAATTATAAGCCTTGCGTATTTTATAGCAGGACGATGTGGCATGTATAAATACCGCAGTCATTGTAGCCCTTTTAGGTGTCTCTTTATTAAATAATGCCGATTTCTTGAGGATAGCGTTTCAGTCCGTGGACGTAATAGGGAGGTTCCAACTGTATTGACTGTGTTTCTAATTGTGCCATTCGGAGAGCCACTTGTCAAAGCGTCTCAGCAAGTGTGAGCAACCATATGGAATACACAGGTTCCTATGACCGTTACATAACGCCATACATGGAAACACTAGAACGATTACGGATTAAAATTTCTCCCATGGACGTGGAGACAAACGAACACTCACTAACGTCGTGTCAACGTCACACTTGGAATTCTCCTATTTTTTGAGTCATCAACTGTGATAGGTGTAAGCAAACTTCGAATTCTTTTTTCAGCTCTAGGTTGGTCTACCAACTTCCATGGGAACACTATCCCGCATGATCGTCGCAATAACAATCGCACAAATTTGTATCTCCTCCTAGCGGCCATTGCTGTACTGCGGAATGCCAGTTAGAAGATTGCCTGTCTACGCCACCATGGTTAGGCCGCTGAATAAGGCACCGCCAGATGGCTGCTAGCGAACACCATAGATTGCTTCATGTGCTGCTTAGTATGTCTGTCGGCACTCGTTACGTCTTAAGCTTCGGATAATGTGGTAGTTAGGATCTCCTCCTTAGACAGGCATCACAATTTGCGCATTGGACGGTTTCAGTTTAGAGACCTATCATCAAATTTTCCTTTAGATAGGCGTCGAAATAGAACAGAAGGTGGTGCTCGACCACTTTTATTGAACTGTCGGTTGCTCATGCTGGGGGCTTCCAACCGTTGTCCCATTGTCTAACGTCCCATGACGAATGAGGGGGTCAACGACGCCAAAACGGCGTTCTTAGCCTCGCTAACTTGAAAGCACTGCACGCGGTTTCGATTATGTGCCACGCTAAAAGCTTGATACAATGCGTTAACATGCGTGTTAAATGGTCTAGATATCTATTTGGTCGGACTTAAGCCTGGCTGAGTGTTTTTTTTGGCGTGGTTGAATTCCCTTTATTTTGAAGAGGGTTAGGATGGTAACTGTTTTAAGCGTTGCAGCTATCAAAATGAGAGTTTGATTCTTATGGTAAAGTAATCGCTGGATAAGGCTAAGAGCACTCTATTGAATGAAGTTATAAATAATGGTGTGCACTTGAAAACGGGGTTGATACGCGACTGGGTATCTGTGGGAATCTCGTTGAAATTGCAATAACGCTTTCAATGATGGGGTGTGCTAGACAATGCTGCAACGTTAGGTTCCCTGGATAGGGCTGATAAATCCGAGTTGGACTAGTGTAAGCATAATAGGTTGCCCCGAAAATTGTGACTGGTAGATCTAAACACAGAGGAGCGTCGATTCAGTACAGCCACGCGGCATAAGACAATCAATTGAATAGGTCTCATTCTGATGCCAAGATGCCAGCTCCCGGAAATGTACAAAACATTTCATTGTCCATCCATTGCATTAAATTAACATTCTCTAGCTAGTTACTGTCCACTAGAAAATTTGTAGCATGGTAAATGTAAATACGTTTACATATTTTTACTCCGATACAGCGCGATAGTCTATTCCAGCACTTCCACTTGATAATTGTGCAAAATTGTCAATGTGACCTTAATCAATTCACTTTCAATGCAGTTAAGAATTTCCACGAAATTTCTTGAATGAGGTACACTAGTGGATCTGTAAGACGCCTCGTTGCTGTCTAGCATTGGTCTTATTCTGTGTGAAACTAACACTGCAACTGCTTTTAATAAGACGGATTGCGGTTAAACACCTCTTTATATATATACATATATATATGGATTATACCTTGATTTCTTATCCATGACGTCAGTCTTATCATCCGCCGATACCAATACTTTTTAGCAAGTTATAAATAACGATATAATATTGAGATACAAATTATTGTTTAAACTCATCCCGCAAGCGGTTAAATCTACTAAGTGGACACTACGCGCGGAAGAGAAATAAACCGACAGTCCAGTGCTGTTCGGGTTGGTATTAGCTACCAATTGAATTCAGCCATCAGAAATTTAAACTGCCCCAAACTAATCCAATTGCATTTCTTATACGCTGTCAACTAATGAATATTTGAAATGAAGAGTAGGTAAGCTGGATAAGATCCGTCCAAAATTAGGTAAAATTTCCTAGCTTACCAACCGGCGTACATTTTCGCGCAAGTTTTACCTGCTAACAACTTTGCACTTATGGATGCGCATGTTAAATTATATGTTGCGTAGATGAAGATAAATTTTGTGCCATACTAGCACTCGTTAAAACTCTTCAGGTAGAAATATCAAGGCTGTGAATCCAACCAAAAGGTTTTAGAGAGTCGATCGAAACCTCTGACGATAAGCTACAGAGTTACGGCTGGAAACGCTTGCTACAATTGTTGCTGTGATTGACGACGCCAATCCAAATCTATTAAATCCACGAAAGCATCCAAATGACCAGCACTCTATGTGTTAGGTAGCCTTCGATATATATATATATATATATATATATATATATATATAATAAACAAACTAGTTGCATGTTACACACATGCATTACTTGCAGGCTTAATATTATACGCAATCCACAGTACTTGAAACCGAAACAATTGGTCTTACTTCTAACTTAGTAGTTTAAACAAAATTGTGTAACTTTAACTTGGTGCAGACTTCAAACCGAGACTGCTAAGTGCTATTAAGTCTAAAGCAGGAAACGAATCCAGAACAATTCATTTATTTCAGCGTTTGAACTTTCTGCTTTGACTGTAAGCAACGGGTGTCCTTAAGGTCTGCACTTTGCAACCGGATACTTTTTACAGTGTCTATTATTTATTGTCCATGAGTACATTGTCTACATTCTATGATGACACATAGTGTGGCCAAATGTTCTCGCTTTAAACGCAGTCTATACAGTATGTGTTTTCCCGAACCTTATTTGATGATTAAAACCAATTTTCTACTCATCAATGTATAACTACATTGATCACGAAAAACGAAAACTAGAGGGTACAGAAAAAGTTGCAATGGAGTGAATTATTAAAATACCCTGTGTAATGAGCTAATAGCTATTGATGTGAGGAAAACCTGCAGCACTTGTGTCGTTTACTAGGTATCACGAATTATGCTTGGGTACCATCTACATTAGGCAGTTGATGTTATCTAGGTGACCATGTATCGAATCTTTCTTATCCCTGTTTTATTGCACTCTAATTGTTTGAGTACTAGAGTATTATTAACATGGTTCATCATTGTACTTCTGAGTGGTCGAGGCAAGCTGTCTGATTTTCCATATAACTTACACCAGTAGGATGCGATATTGCACATGAGACGCACAAACGCATGTCGCCTATCAGTCTGACTGTGTTCACCGGAATCAGTCTGGTATGTATGTCAACACAGCCAAACGTTTTCATGAAATCTTTTCCGCATGAATGTATAAATCGTTCTATGATATCCCAATTAAATGCACACCACGCGTCGACCTACAGAAATCTCTTATATTACTGGGTGGAACTGCTATCTACCTGTTCAACTGTTTTCAAATACAATCCAAAATTCTTGAGATAACTATTACCTCTGAAATTAGAGTTGTCGACTACGCATCTAGCACGATCATTTCATACGCAAAATCACAGAATAACAATTCTAGGTCGTACAACGCTTGTAGAGATATCCACAAGTGTGTTGGTTTATCTGTGCCTATGTACAACAACATCAATTTACTTTACTTGTTCTAAACTAAGCAGTAACTTTATCCGTAAAACATATAATTCTTGAATGTGTGGAAATTGTTTTGATAATAATTTGAGATCACTAATACACCTATGATCATGTGCATGCACCAGTTTACATGCGTTAGGTTGCGTCCGTGTTATTAGTACACTCTGAAGCACATGGTTCTGCTGATGCTAAGTTTTGTGCAACTGATGTATTGTTGCTATAAATTGAACGAAAAGCTTCGCATTTAACCCGGTGAACTCATAGTCACTACCGTGTTCTGGTCCTGGAAAATTTCAAGATTAATGTGGAATATCCTAGCATTCACGAAAGACCTGATGGCATCTGGTATGCTATTCCACAGGTCAGCGTATATGACGAGGAAGAAATCAAAACGATTAGCTCTCCAGATTCGTAAATTCATATGTTTCGCCTTATTGCTGCGAATCGTCCAGGTGAAGTTATGTTTCATATTTAGTGTGCACACATTGGGGTAGGTAATTTGGTTTATGCACTTGTGCATTAGTCTCGGGTTATGTTTCAACTGTTGCAACCAAAATGGCTCGGATTGAAACTATTTGAAACTCTCCCGATAGCTCAGTTTGGCAGCTATATTAAAATTAAGTATGACAAATGATCTTTGCAGATTGTACAACGGTTTCCTATCGCCCGCAGGCATGTTTCCATAAATGATGCCACAGTATTCAAGTACGGGGACGAAAAGGATTTTCAGTTTGATGCCTGTGGCAACCTATTGAAATATGCTGTTCTATGAAAGCCTGCTTATTTATAAACCACATGGGAATTTCATGATGATATTATGCCACTTGGAATAAAATTATTGATGAGTATCACTGATTTAACAAGTATTTCGTTTTAGTCAAACTTTTCTGATAACAGTAAACTGCTAAGCAGATAATATATGATTCTGACATAATAACTAAACTACGGAATGCAGTGTTTGACTAAGTAGTGGTAGGTTGATGAAGGCGTCCTTTTATTGGTAACAACTTAACGGGATACTCCCAAATAAATGTGAGGTCCATGAACGATCTGCCACGGTGCCTTTACCGCCATCATATCATACTGAAACGGTGGTTCTACTGCCCAGAAAAAACCATTATTACCTTATCTTAAATAACACAAAATACACAAGATTTAACTGATGAAATTTTAACGGGGCACCAACTGCGAAGTGAAATTCAACTGTCATCTACATCCTGCCAATGTACGCTTTTTTGTAGGTCGTCAGTTGGGCAGAGTCAGATGAACAGTTACGCACCCTTCAGCTGAAATGCAATTTGGTCGGTCCAACTCGGAGGTTGCCTGTGGGATACTTCCGTACACAGTTCAAAGGTCATGCTGCCTTAGATCAAGCGAAAGTCGTTGATACCTTTATAAAAACGATTTCTGCTGAAGCAAGCACTTATGATATAGATTGGGTTCAATTCCGCTTTCGTAAGTAAGATTGCATTACGATGCTGCGGGAGCATTAAGCTGCGCCATGCACTGCATTGTTGACACTAAAAACTGTTGGAACGTTGAGTGCAACGCATTCTTTTCGTTTTTGCAGGACAGCACCCAATTACGAGCGAGCGGAGTGAGTTGTCTTTCTGAAGATATTTAAAAACATTACGCTTATCGTTTAGATAATATTAGTTCATTGATTGAGAGCTCGCAAATCGGTGGTGCGGTCAATCCAGACGTATTTCATCATACCCAACAATGTTGATCTTTCATAACCAATAATCTCTTAGTTGAAATTTTTTATCCGCAAATAAGCTTAGATCGTGGGAAATAAGGAATTCACTGAGGGTTGTCCTACTCAACACAGTAAGAATTAACATGGCTTAGTTTTTCATATTCATACGTGGATCTAGAGGTTAGAATGTTCTCTGATACCGGGAGAATAGTTTCAAATTTCAAACAACTAGTGAGATAAAGTGTTATTCCGTATCAAACCACAACTTTATTCGGAATAGTACATCTATATTGAAGAGATTGCTAAAATTGCCGCCAGCATATCTCGCATACTTTGACTCAGGTTGGTGGGTATAAATGTCGAAAATAGTTTGCTGGATGAATTAATTACCTCTTGAAGAGCCACCTAATAAGCTAGGGGCTGTACTGTGATTGTTTGGTTCGAACTAATGGAGCAACTGTAGCAAATTAAGGAGAATTATTTCAATGAGTGCTAATACATTATGTAGCAAACGAACGTATTTAACGAAGAATTTGTTTGCTTGAGTAGTACACAAATTGGGATGAAAGAGGATACTCACATAAGCTCCGTATGGAGTTAGGTTAATTACCTCCATCCTTAACCAACATTAAAACATTTTTCAAATAGATCAATTCAATTACTAAATGGTTGATTGCTGGTTCCTTTTAAAGTAAGGTGTTATGATTGCGTAGGTTGCCTTAGTCGTCGCCGCTGTTATACTTGAGTCGCCACTGTTATGATTGAGGGAACGCCGCCTCTTGAGATAATTGCGTAATTGCCTGATAAGAGGGTCGCTGGCACGCCTACGATAATTGCTTGCTACGCTGACCACTCGAACGGAATTGCGCTGTCCTGATGACGCTGGCTTAGCCGGTGAGGCGGATAATTGAGCGAGCTTGCGAACGATCCTAGCCGCACGTGTTCGGATTGACGCTAAGCCTCGGAACGGACGCAAACGAGAGGGAGTTATGATAGACGCGCTCTAATGGCTTAGACGCAAAGGCTGGCCAGCTAACGATGCACACGCAATCACGCGACCCGACCGACTCACAACTGAGGCGAAGAGAAAGAAAAGACAAGTGGTCCTTTGTAGGCTCTTTTAAGACCGACAAAGGGCGATCACAGCTAGTGCTATGGGTTATTAAGTTAAGGAAAACAGTCACCACGAAGAGGTGGTAGTTTGCAAATGACCATTGTCAAAAGGTTCGCAGTTGGGACGCGTCTCGGAGTGGCTGAGCTCTACTGCGTTGTGGGGAGGAATTGGACCTCGCTTTCCACAGCCATTCTGCCGGGGTTCCTGGCGCGTTTTGCGGGAATATTTGACGTGCCCGCAACATAAGGTTACTACATTATAACCACCGTAATGTAGCTTATCATGTGACTCGCTGCAGTATAACCAACAGTGATTTCCGCAGCAGTTTTTAATTATGTTAAGCATTTTATTTAGTTATTAACTGACGAGTTATCAGCATTTTCTTGTTTAGCGCAGGGTCGGGGTAATTCTCAAACAGTAGCTCATGTTTGCTAGATCTAAAGTCATTGCAGATAAACGGCCACATTTTGAAAGGTGCTGCAGTTCCTTGACGACCACCTAGGCGGTTGTAATGGGCAAAAAACCTTAGTGGAGGCATTTGGTTGCTATGCTTTATATGGGCTACTTTTAATGCTCTAGTAATCATGAGTTACGATAAACTAAGCATGCGCATCGGCATAAGCAAATTCATTTTGTTGGCTCAGCATTAATTTTACGCTGATGCTGCTGTGTCACATTACATTATTGTGACGGTAGCTTCCACACATACCGGCTTATGAGACATCACATGCGGCTAAAACGCAAGGCAATCTTTCCATTTAAACTAATATCTGGCGCGAACTTCAACTTAGCTGTTTATTCTTGCCTCTTGCAACATCTTTTATTTTACACTAACTACTGCGGACCTCTAACTTAATGTTTTGGTTTACCAAATTCGTTTAACTGAACTACGTCCCAGTTGCCAATGTTATCCGTCTGTGCCGTTTGGAGTGCGGCATGTAAAAAGCTTTATGTCCGTTAGGTTCATAAAGCCAAAAACCTTTCAAGCAGATTGCGAGAAATCACTCTGGCAACATGAGAAAACATCGAGCTGGTTAGAAGTCGGTCTCAGATCATATCTTTTGGAAAAAAAGACAAATACCACTCATCCTCGCTATCTATGCGCGCTTTTTGCTGGGAAACGTCACTGACCTCACAACTGTTATATAACGAAAAAAGATGTAAACACACGTATTGTCATGTTATAAGAAAGCCGATTTCGCTCTAATATTAACTTTAGTGTAATAAACGTCAGTGGATACTGTGAAATTAGGTTCAGTCTCCCTGGGAAGCCAAGGAAGCTTGATGACAGATCATCTTCTACGTTGAACAAATCTGGCGCAACTAACTAACTCGACTATTCCCTCACTTTACAAGCTCTTTAAGATGTCATTGACTTAAAATGCATGCCTAAATTTCTCAGTGGCTTTGAATTCGTTGTCAGGGGAAACTTCTACGTTGTACTTTATACATAATCGTCCAAACTGAGGCTTTTCTTTGAGAAACTTTCTTAGGTATTTTTGCCGAAATTAAAATGTTCTGGCGTCATCGTTACCGGTGATTTCCAAAAACATGAAGCTACATGCATCAAGTTACTTGACCTTGCAAATTTGATAACATTCCCGACAAGTTAAGACGCAGAGCTCTGTATTGTTTACACAAACAAAATGTGTTTGTCTTCCAGTTAAAAGCGAGCATCACTAATTGACTCGGATCATTGTATTTTAAAGTCTTGCCCTAACATCTACATTAAAATTAATCATGCCGCAATGACGAAACGAAAATCCTGGGTGACCAGAGGATGAAATTGTTTGGCGGATAACATCGCGCGACTTAAGCAACGCTTTCTTCAACCGTGTTTTCAGCGTTTTGCAGATAAAGATTTATTGCCTCAATGCGATCATCTCACCACTTAGGTTAACTTTTCTTTTCACCTTTGCTGCCATATCAAGACGATCGATCTACAGACAGATGTACTTCACCTCTGTTGAAGCAACTTCGATGGAAAAAAGAACGTGCTTACAAGTTCAAAAGGACCACCCGCGTTAAAATCCTGATTTTGGTAACTAAGGCTGCAATAACAAGACTAAACCTTTTATACATTGAAACCGTACTGGGAAACCGTAGTTACCAAGATCACTAAAGGTTGTTAAAGTAACTTTGTGGTGAAAGTACTAACGGTTGTACTGAATCGGGGATGTTGACTAACTCATTTCTGTGTTTAGTTCCTCTTCGTCGAGCTTTTTTCCATTACCCCTCTTCTCTGGCTCATAACAAGCCATGCTATTCGATCAAGGTGACATCAACAGAATTCTCACGAAGCTAACTTCAAATAAATCTAGTGACTCTGATGGTTTATAACCTATGATTTTGAAGCAGCGATCTTTTTGATAAGTATCTTAAGACCGGTGCCATGCAAGGCAGCTGAAGGCAAATCAAGATAACACCAGTTTCGTGATCATAGAATTCCTCGAACTGCTAATAGTCCAAAGAATTTCCACGGCTACTCGTGCTAATGATAGTTACTAGTTTGCGTTCAGACCCCAGGACCATACGTTAGATGTTTTCTCGCAACTTTTGAATTTTGCGTCTTGAATCTTGACCAATCGGTTTTGTTTAACCTACTTTATTTGAACAGTGTCCACCCTGACGCTTGTCAATTCTTATGTGACTGTTTCACTGATCTTACTCAAAGAACCTCTACGCTCCGCGCTGACTGTGACGCTTTGCAGGACGCGATCCTGTAGCCTATTTTATTCTCTTTATATGTCAAAAGTCCCCCCATACCATCCACCTTCATTGGATGTAAATATGCTGACGTTGTTATCTTAGGGTTCATAGCTCCCTCTATTGTGATATATACTCTACATTGTGGTTTAGACGAACCTGAGAGTTGGTCATCAACCAAGTCCCTTAAACATAATGAGATGAAAAGTAGTAATGTGACATTCTCACTTCTTCACCCTGATAACTTGTAAGCAATTTTAGATGCCTAGGATATTAAATTTGGAGGACAAAACTAACCCTAGTTCATCCACAGTCAAATATCTCGGTGTCTATTTTCCTCAATTCGTCTCTTGGTCCACGCACGTTTTGGAGACATTCCACAAGATCAGAAGATGTGCATGTTATGCTTTCCGGCTTAAGAAATGCTCCGTACCTCGAAGTTAGATTATGAGATTTGTATCTGCATGGGAGTAGCTCCACACCTACCAAGTCATGTCTTGTAAATGCAATCTTCATGACTTCATCAATAGCGAAGTTGAAGAGGAAAGGTGACAACGGGCATCCTTGTCTCACACCGCTGGAGATATTGAAGGGTGGCGACAGCCTGCTGTAAGACCTCACTCTGCCCGTGCTACGCGCATATGATGCTTGGATAATATTTACATATTTCTCGGGCACACCTTTCCTGAGTAGACAATTCCAAATGGCACATCGATCAACCGAATCGAAGGCACCTTTGATGTCGAGGAACAGGACTACGGTGGGCCGCCAATATGTGTGACGGTGCTTCAACAACTGACGCAAGGTGAAGATGTGGTCGATGCAGCCACGACCCCGACGAAACCCGGCTTGCTCCTCACGAATCTGGCTTTCACGAGCGCCAGTCAGTCTGTGAAGGATTATGGAGGCGAGTAATTTGGAGGCGATGGAGATCAGAATGATTCCTCCACGGTTGCCGCATTCCGAACGCAAGCCTCCTTTGAAGATGGGAACAATAACGGAGCGGCTCCAGTCGGTTGGGACAGTCTCCTGCTCCCACAGTTTCACTAGTAATTCATGTAAAGCATCAACAGGAGCAGAGCCTCCGAATTTGAA